CCAGAGTCGTGGACCAAGCTGTAGCAAAGATGTCGAAACAAAAACACACGCATGGACAAAGCGGCAAATTATATTAAGATAAAAGGAGAAACGCGAATAAAAAGAGTTCCTAAGAGCGCACATCCGTTGACAAGTGCGCGGGCGACGATGAGTGAAAAGAGGACAGGGAGATATGTAGAGAATTCGATAGATCAAAAGAAAGTGGGAAGGAGAAAACAGAGCAAAAAAAATTGCAAAGGCGGGAGAAAAGTTAGATTTTTGTTCGTCAGAAGATTATTTATGAATAATTAACATGATAACATAAAAATATGACTCCCACTCCTCTGCTCGCTACGGCATCATCGTCGGCTGATTACTCGTTCGATATGTTGTAATGCGTTTGATATGCATAATGCGCAAGTAGATAGAAATTTATTATACTAATTATGTCCATTAATAATTATTATTAATAGTTATTATTATTTCATTATATTTTAACTTTTATTATTATTATTTGAGAATAAAAACGTTAGAGAGCTTTCAGTTACAGCAGTATTTTTTGGTTTTATTTCCAATCCTTTATTCCTTTCAAATTACAATTTTAGTTTTTATTTATAGAAGAAGCAGATGTCTTACGACTTGAACTTTTTTCAATGATAGATATTTATACATTTTAGTTCTGTAAATTTATTATTTTTTTTGTTATTGCAATTATATTGTTGCATTAAAAATGTATTTTTCTCCTACCGTCCCGTCATTTTCATCTGTGTGTGTATATATGAATTGTACATATACAATTTAGTATTTAATAAATAATACTCGATTCGCCATATATATATACGTTAAAACCAATTCACTATTCGATGGATAAGAAGCAGGATTAAAAATATTGCAATGGAATAATTCTTAATTTTAAATATTTATTATTTTTTAATAATATCAACAAATATATAAATTAATGAAAAATAATAAATTAATAAAATTTATTTGTACACAGTTTATAAATTATTCAAGCATTAATTAATTCTGTATAATAAAATCATTTTTCATCAAGTACATATTAAATTCAGATAAAATTATGCGATTTCCTGCTTTTTATTTTCATCCACGTAGTAATTGGTTTAAGACACTAGATGTTCAATAATTAGGAGAAAACGAAGCTACAAAAGCTCCGGGTATACCAATTGATTAGTCGACTACTTGTAGAGGAGATTTCACACTTCGCAAGATTCACAATTGGATACTTTAAATGCTGAATATCTAGTTTAAGAAAATTAAACTAAAACTCAGTTTCAAAAAATGTTAAAGAAAATTTATTTTATTTCATTTTATTAATTGTAAAACTGAGTCTGGTTAAAGATAGTTTCATTTCTTAAATTGGATCATTATATTAAAAGTAATATATTTCCTCAAGCATTTTGTAGTTTTAATTTAAAGTGTCCAATTTCTTGACATCTTCGTGGAAAATTATAGAATTATCATAGATTTTATTAACGTTTGATGTGTAACACATTATCACGAGACGCATAACATAATCGTGTAAGGGTAATACGCGAAGAGCACGGTATAACAGTTCTTAAAACGTCGCGATGGTGGAAAACTTCGTTCAATTGAGAACGATAAATCGTTTTAACTATTTTGTACTAAAAATTATCGAGATTACGTCGAGCGATCGAACGACGGTATCGCGATTCGCGAATCTTTCCGTCAGTGGACTGTAATAATTAGACAATTTTCTTGCTAATGCGTGTCTGCGTGGCTGTCTCGTCTTTTAATGAAAGGGCGATTTTGTGGAATTTGTGGAGAAAGGGAGAAAAAGGTCGAGTGAAAGAGAAAGAGAGAAAAAGAGAGAGAGAGAGAGAGAGAGAAGTAGAAGTAAAT